TACTGCCGACATTGATAGAAGTTAAAAGAAAATATGTAATTTACCATGGAGTGAATTTACATAAACGTTTCCAACTGCAAAATAGACTAACATTAATTGTACGGCGCCCCTGACATGAATGATCTAAACTATTGTGAGAATGTTTTAAGAACGATGTTTCAGAGCTTGCAAGCACTTTCGTTACATTGTACATCCATAATCTAACATACAAAAGGTCTGTGCACAATCATTAGCAGCTTATGAATTAGCACTGGAGCAAGGACCTATAGGCACCAGCTATTATTATTATTTAGCACGCCAAAACATACCTGAAGATAATTACATTCCCAAGGACAGCATAATTGTTGTAACCCGAACTGATACTAGCCAAATAACTTAAGATTTCTACCCGCATTAATCTTAAGCATGGGTTTGCCGAATCTGAGAAATCGATAAGCATAGATCGGCGCTGAGCTAGTGTCTGCACATGCCTGACTCTACTTTCCGTCGAAAAGGACCAGATGGGGTACGTGATCCTGACACTTTGAGAAAAGTTCCTGACGAGGATATTACTACCAAACAAGTGGCGGTGGCGGACAAGAGCTGAACAGTCGAGTCAACTTGAGCAACATTCATTTTAAAAAACATTAAATTTATATTTAAGTTGGCCCAATTGTGAAAAAAAAAACTAAATTAAGCAAACCTGCAGAAACCCTCTGAATAATTAAATTTATATTCAGATACAGCAGTGAAATTTTGGTCAAAATAGCTGTATAGTACGTCCCTCAAGCAGCTAAGTTGAAAAGTGGAAAGTACATTCAAGTAACAGGGGCAGGTCAAGCAAGAACTGTTTAATTTTTGCAGTGAAGCCAATAGGTGCGAAGCAAGCATAAGATTCTGGTAAGCCACTGCAAACAATATAGTCATCAATCGGCTCTACTAAACGTTGCCTCTGGAAAATAGCTGATGCATAAGATAGAAGTGAACTGACATAACGTAAGCTGCTATGACAAAAAATCAACCGAAAAACAGTTAAAATAGCAAGGTGCCTTAAAGGTTATGACTGGAAAATTTTTTAATCGGAGGGATTACTTTGGGTTTGTGAAAAACGGAGTCTGGCATCTTTTACTATTGTGCTTTTTGGAACGGCTTTAAACGACACAGGTATTAAAATGTGTGAAGCTTGGTTTGCTTGGCATAAGGAAGCAGTGAGCGCGACGCATAAGACGAAGAGAATGAGCGATCAGTCACTACGGCCAGTCGCATGTCAGTATTTATTGAAGAGAATATGAATGGTGATGCGTATGATGTCCGATCTATGACCAACATCACACACGAACTATAACTGTGTCCATGTAGTATTGCCCCACATAAAACAAGGGCGAAACACCAAATAGCCCTTAAGTACTGTCAGAATTGTAATGCAGTCTAAATTGTTGTATATTTACAAGGACCAAGTAGACTTTTCTGATCTGGTATGAAAACAACAGTGCACGTACAACAATGGATTTGTCTAATTCTGAGGTTACAAAGATCTTATGATGAAGCTTAAAAACTTACCATTTTTTCGAAGATTCCGAAGGAAGCACATAGCTTTTCTTTTACGAGATTCTTCAACATTTCATCGAAATTTGGGTCTGCTAACCGATCCCGGATGCGTGAAAATACGTTGATACAGTCTGTGCAAGCGGGTTGATCGCGCTTCGATAAACAGTAGAAACGGATAATTATGGATTTGCATAATCGAAAATGTTAAAAGCGAACAATGTGTATATATCTGTGAAATGGTTCCGACAAAGCAAAGGGAGGCCGGAATGGCCATTTCTGGCTTATTAGCCGTCGTCAGCCAGTCATACCTAATCTCAAGGGTTGGAACCCCAAAAATTTGAACACGGGACCTTTGGTCATTGAGTTCAATACTCTACCACTAGTCAACGGGCTCCTTGCTTTGTCGGTTGAGATCGGGAGTATGATGAATGTATATGTTTCGCCAATCTAGTAGAGGAACAATTAAGT